CCTCGTTTAAAGCGGAAATGGATTTCATCTATTTAGGCCAAAGATCCTGTAACCGTTTCGTGAGGCTTACGGCAGCTCAGCTATATAAGGGCATCAACCCCTCCAGGGCCCAGGTATGCATGATTATTTACATTCAAGCTCTCTAGCATTCAAGCTTTTAGCTCACAACCACAGCAAGAATACTAACTTAAGCATCGAAGTGACCTCACTAGATCATCCACCCCGGTCTCTCTGATCCTTATTTTGTAGTTTGATCTAGCTCGCCACGTGAGCAATGTCTAGACAACCTTTCAGCTAGGAGCTTCTAGATTGTGCTTCATCAATATATATATATATATATATATATTGCAAACTTTTTGGTGAAATTTGAATATATTCCTAGATATAGAAATTAAAGGTTTTGGTTGAATGGTAAGTTTTAGTTTTATAAAAAAAAACATAATATAAAGTAAACCAAATAATCATTAATAGTCTAAGAATATATAAGGAATGAAGTATAAAAAGAAATGTTTAAATACATGCAGTATGAGGATATAAAAAGAAATGTTTAAATACATAAACAAACTTTGATTTGAAAGTATAGGGTAGTTCCTTGTTGCACGTGAAAGTTTGGGCCCTTGAGTGTCATTACCCCTAAAGTATGATAGTTTCCTATAAATTTCCAATAAAATATAAATTTTAAGCACAATTAAAGTAAAGAATTGAAACTTCAACTCTAATTTTCTACTACAGTTCTTTGATAAATTCAAAGAAGATAAATACAAATTTGGCATTGTGGTTAATTTTAGTTTAAAAATGTTCAGTATATAATCCTCGGTCTTAACTTGAAAACAATAAAAAAGTGAATTCCAAAGAATGGAATTATGTCAAGTTGGTTTCTTAAAAAAATAAATGAGGAATGAAAAGTGATAAAATGGTTCTCAAGGGATTTCATAAAACATCTTAAAGAATTTTCCACAATTTTCCCTTTCTCAATTATTTTATCCTACATAAACTAAACACAACTTTAGCTCTTCGATACCGCCATGCTTATTCACAAGTCGCAACTCACATTGGATCGAGGAGGTCAGTTAGGGATGGCAATTTCTACCCTACCCGGTGGGTATCCACACTACCCACCCCGACGATGTGGTGTTTTTGCTTGAAGGATGGGTTTCGGGGTAGGGTGGGTTTAGGGTATACCTGATCTTTCCCGACCCTTGTATTGTTGGATGGCAAATAAATTTTATGTACTAGGTGTTAAGTTTAATAATATTTTGAATTTTATATGAAGTATAATTGATTGTTTGTGTTTTTTATATGCATTAATCAAATAATTGAAAATTGTGTTATTTATTTATCTTATTTTACTTATTTATAGGTTACATATAACAAGAAATAATAGGAATTTAGATATAAGTTCTAAACCCAACCCACCCTACCCTTGAATGCGGGGAGGGTAGGGTTAGGGAGGGTTTTGCATTTTTATATGTGGTGAGGGTTTGGATTATCAAAATACAACTTGATACGGGCTTTGGGTGGGTATGGGTTGGAAGGTTTAGGGAGGTGGATAGGGTCTGGAATTTACAAAACACTCGCTACACTCCCTAGACCTACTCCATTGCCATCCCTAAGGTTAGTAGAGTGGTGTTATAAATTAGGCCTGTTTATCAAACTGATGAAACCAACAACCTAATTCAACTCAACCCAAGATGGTCGATTTTTTAATAATTTCGGTCGACTTCGATTCAGCTATTATGCTAACTCGAGAAGTTGGGTTGGTTTTGATTTGGCCATTTCTAAATTGATCAAAACCAATCCAACCATAAATACATATTAATATTTTAAAATTAAAAATTTTTAATATCGGAAAATAAACAATTTCCAATATTTTTTAATTTAAAATATTTTATATTATAAAAATTTTTTTAATTTACTTTTTAATAATATTGTTGCATTTTTTAAAATTTAAATCTTTTGAACTGATCGATCAAACCAAAAACTAATCAAAATCAATACAATTTGAATTAGCCAATTTTCACTAATGATCGATCGATAACCAATTCTCCACCCCGACAAATCGGTTCAATTGACGAAATAGCCTTCAACTGAACCACACTGACTCGTGAACACAAAACAACTACCAACTTCTGATCAAGGCATCGTTCTCAGTATCTATATATTAAAACAAGAAAGTCTAGAAATTTTCTCATTTTTTTTGAATTTTTAATTTTTTAATCCATGTTATTTTTGAAACTACCAATTAGAAACTCTACTTTCCCCATAAAACTCTTCCTAAAATCTCTCTCTCTCTCTCTCTCTCTCTCTCTCTCTCTCTCCCACACGTTCCAATAACCTAAATAATCTACTATCCTAAAATTTCTCCTAAACAACCTCCCCCACTATCTCAAACTTTCTCTTAAGTTATTTATAATTTAGTAGAGAGTTTCTCTCCTAGATTATCTCTAATTCTTATTTATCTTTTCCCCCACTTTTTATCTACATTTATGTAAAGAAAGTTTGAATTAAAAAATTAAGAATTATTTAAATATTCTAATAAAATTATATAACAACTTTAAAATATTTATTAAAAAGACAAAAATAATTATAATTGATTTAACAATATTCATATTATTAATAATTATATATTTTTACAAAACTCATCACGAAATTATATACAAACAATATAAATTATGATTTTCTGGATTATTCAACATAAATATTATTCAAATATATCTAGCATTAAAAATGATATATTATTTAAATATTTAAATAACTAAATATCTTAAATAACAAAATATTAAAATTAATATTTTAAATAGTTATTGAATAATTTTCAATTATAATAACTAGATTAAGATTTTAAATATTTAGTTAAATAACTAAATATTTTAAACAATGAAATATTTAACATAACTTGGTTTTAGATAGTTAAAATAACAAAATTATGTATTAATAGTACTATAATTTTATGGATTATTAAATTCAACAAGTAATTAATATTTTAAAATTAAATAATGATATTATTTCTATAAATAAATAATATTGTAAATACCTAATTTCATTTATACCAATTAATAATTCTAGAAAATAACTTTCAAAAAAATTAATGTTTATTAATAATAATTTTAAAAACTTAATCTATATTTATTATATATTTATATATACTAAAATTAATATTTATTATATTTTAGTAATTACTTATTATTTTTTTGATAATTATATTTTTCAATAATTATGTATAAATCTTTTTTTCATTTTGTTATTTAATAGAAAATTTTCAATAATTATTGGAGTTTAAACTATTGCTATTTAGCTTTTTAAATTTAATTTATTGTGTATTTTCGATATAAATTTTTAATAATTATTGAAGATTAAACTATTGTTCACGGGTTGGTTCGATTTAGTTGTAGGTTGTTTGGCCAACCAAATCGACGTGGTCAGGTTGGGGAGTTGGTCACTCAGGTTATATCGATTTGGGTCAATTTTTGATTTCGTCGGTCGATTCAAAAGATTTAAAAATTAAGTTTAAATTTAAAATATTACAATGGCATTATTAAAAAATAAATTTAAAAATTAAATTTATGATATAAAATATTTTAGCTTAAGAAATATTGGCATTTTCCCACTTTCCTATATTAAAAAATATATTTAAAATATAAAATATTAATATATATCTATGGTCGGGTCGTTCAATTTTAGTTAGTTTACAAATGGCCAAAGTGAAACTGATCCAACCCAGTCAAGTTGGGAAATTGTTGAACCAAAGCTGACTGAAAATACTAAAAATCGGGTTGGTCAGTTTCATTAGTTTGATTAGGAATGGCAATGGGGTGGGGTGGGGATGAGGAGCCTCTCCCCGTCCTCGTCCCCGTGAAAATCCCTTCCCCTCTAATGGGGGCAAAGTTATCCCCATCCCCGTCTCCATGGGGATCCCCATCCTCGTAGGGGTCCCTACTCCTCGTGATTATTTATAATGTCAATCATTATGTTTTTTATTTTTTAGTTTATTTAAAAAATATAAATAAAATAATTAAAATTTATAATCCTACTAGAAAAGATTTAAACATATTCAACCATATTTTTAAAAATATTAACATATAGATGTATGTGTATGTATATACATATATAAACGTATGCGTATATATACATATATATTAGTGGGGATCCCATGGGATGGGGATTGGGCTTCCCGTGGGTAGGGAGTGCTCTCCCCGTCCCCACACCGTCCCCGCCAACAAGGATGAAAATTTTCCTATCTCCATTCCCACCTCATTCAGGCAGATCCCCACAAGGATAAGGGAAATAGGGAAAATTGCCATTCCTAAATTTGATAAATAACCATATTTAAATTTATTATTATTTTTTTATATTGTAAAAAATTATTAAAAATAGTATATGAAATATAAATAATTATTAATTATTATATAAAACAATCATATACTCTTACATGTTTCTATTGTTTATTTTAACTTAACAAATCCCCGCTAATATAGCGGTATAGTTAGGGGTGTCAATGGACCGGTTTTGGGTTGGACTCCATCCAAATCAAAATCCATTTGGACGGATTGGATGGACCAATAAGACATATTGAATTTGGATGGATTGGACAGACCAATATGACATATTGGATTGGACCTGGTCCGTCTATAATGAATTTATATTGGATTGAGCCAATATCTGGTCCCTTGATAGAAGATAAGAACATAGGTGTCAATAGACTAGGTTTGAGTTGAAACCAATCTAAATTAACAGTAATTTGAACAGATTGGACAGTCTCTGGACTGATCCAAAATAGTCCAAAATATTCATTGGACTGGATTGGACCATGTCCATTTATAATGGACTAACATTGGACCGGATCGGATTGGACCAAATCCAGTCCAAGTATAACCCACCTTTCACTAGCGGTATAGTCCACCTTTCACCAAAGCCCCATATGATATCAAGCAGATCGGGCGGCTAGGAGCTCTTGCACGGACGAGTCAGATTCTCTTAACAACATCGCTCGAAACATCCTCAATTCTCAAAGTAGAACGAGGCTAGGCCACGGCTTTCGACTTTCGAGTTTCGACCTTATTTCCCCTCCGTCGTTTCCCCAGTCGGACACCGCCATAATAACTGGCCGGAAAAACCGCGATTCACTGGCTGGATAGAAACTTGAAACTTGAAAGGTTAGCTCTCTCTCTCTCGTTCGTTTTTTCCCCTAGGCTTTTCACTACTTGTTTCGTTCTAGTACTTCAGAACCGAAGTTCAAGAAGGAGAATCGAGCAACCATCTATCTTATACCCTACTCTGTCTGTTACTGCTGTTGTCCAATAGGACGGTATTTTTTAACACTCCTCCTAACACTCAGCATTCAAATCTATCGCTAGGAGTAATCCCTCGTAGTCTCGCTGCCTCTCCGGTTCAAAGGAGACCTTACCTTCTCTTGCATCACTTCTTTCTGTACTTGCCTCTAGGAGTTGAATTACAATGATTTGGATATATATTCTTTAGCTTCTTCAAGTCGAATAATCTTATCAGTGAAACCTCGAAATTTCTCCTTGGTTTCTTTTGTTTGTTGAAAGAACAACTTCCTGTTTTGGAATGTTTGGTTTCTTATTTATTTTCTGACAAGTAAGATGAACAAGCTATTCTCCTTTTAACAAATGCTGTTGGTGTTTTTTCTATTAGAAATCCTAATGGAAATTCTATTGGTTTTTTCCTTGTCAGCTTTCAGAAAGTCTTCAATGGCACTTCATTGCTGATAACTGGACATTGATACTAATTCCTGCAATTCGGATTGAAAACGGCTAGGCATGGCAACGCAAATGGATTCCCAGGAACCTTCGAGCATCCAAGTACTTACTTTTTCCTTTTCTTATGAAACTTTAATTCTTATTTGCTGTGTTAAGTTGTATTACGCGAGTTAGAACTTACTCCAAATGTTCTTTATAATTTTTCTTATTTTTAAGTCAAAGGGAAAAGAGAAATATGATCTTTCCAAGTCGATGGAGAAACTACAAATTGAGGAATCTTCCTCTGGTCAAGCGGGCAGTTTGTCAACTAATTTCAAACGGAAACCAGTTATTGTCATTGTTGTTGGAATGGCAGGCACGTCATTTACATTTCTTAACTTCTAATTCTCTCCCGAATTTATGACACCGATGGAGTTTATTAAATAACCGTATTATTTAGTGCTAAAAGAGTTGAGCATGGATTTGGGGTTATCTCAGGGAGTGGAAAAACGACTTTTCTTCATCGGTTGGTTTGCCATACACAAGCTTCAAATCTTCGGGGATACGTATTAAACCTTGACCCTGCTGTTATGACACTTCCTTTTGGTGCAAACATTGATATAAGAGACACTGTTCGGTACAAGGAAGTAATGAAGCAGTTCAATCTTGGACCTAATGGGGGAATACTCACATCGTTAAACTTGTTTTCTACCAAGTTTGATGAGGTAGGGCTTTGCTAATATGAGGTTTTATTCTGTTCTATAATATTTCTTTCTTTAGGTCAATAGGCTTCTTTCTAATCTTGATCCGGCTCAACTCTGCCATACTTGTAGTACTCATTTTTTTGTGCTATTTTTATGCGCCTATACAGAAGATTTCATGCATCAAAACTTGATGCCAGTGCATCATAGTTGTCAAGGACTCAAGGTGACACCTAGGCAACAAGGCACACTTTGAGGCTTGCCTCACCTAATCACCGATCTGTTTTGTACTTTCCATTATAAAATACTTTTTTATTCTTTATGTTTTGAGATTTAATTATAAAATAGACATTATTAAACTAAAATATTCATTTTGTGTGTTTATATACTAATTTCTTTTCATTATTTTCTTATTTGTTAGGGTTTAATCAACACAAACATTGCTAACTGTTTTGTCTAATCAACCCCCAAAGACTTAATAACCTGAACCAATAAGGAAGAACTTAAAATTTTGTCTAATCAACACATTTTCTTCTTCCATATATATTCTTCTTCTTCTTCTACATTTTCTTTTTCTTTTTTCTTTTCCTCTAACAAAAATAAGGGTTGAGCCCCTATATTTTTTTGAATTTTATTTTCCTTCTTTTTCTTCTCATGAATATGTTGATTTTCTATACTTTAACATGAACTTTATAATTTTCTTATGAAAATTATGAATAATTATTAAGGAAATATAATTATGGTACCTAGGGAACTACCCTAGGACCTATGTTTTTTACATAAAAAATCCATTGGCAATGCCGAGGCACCCACCTAGGTGACTTAGGTGACAAGGTGCCCCACGTTGCCTAGCCTCACCTTGGTGCCTTGAAAACTATGCGGTGCATCCATTTTATCAGGAAAAAGAGATTTTGATAGATGTTTATATAGTGAGAAGGGGCCTTAGTGTTCTTTATTTCTTTTAAGTAGTATTTAGAAATTATGTTTCTTAGTTATGGGCCTTCTTTTATTTTCTTTAATCATTTCTTTAGTGCTGGCCACCCCATTAAGGGCATCCAAGTAATTGTACTCAGACTTAGAATTATTAATAAAAGTGATGAAAGGGGCTAGAGAGAGAGGTTCGAATTCTTCTTTTCTCTCTTCCCTTCTTTTATTCTTCCACAACCTATTGTTGAAACTTCTTTCTTCTTCTCTCTTTTCTTCTTTTCTTGCATTATCTGAATTACTGTAGGTGTAATTTTCAACTGTTTGAAATGAGATCTTTAGATTGGATACTATAGAAGCACTGGGGGTTTTAGAATTTTGGTACAAGAGATCCATCTGTCTGGGTTCTAACTCTACATCCTTGTCAAAACCATTGGGTCAAGACAGAAGCTGTGTGGAATTCCTAATGCATATTTCTATCCCTTGCAAAAATGTGTTTAAGTTTTATTAGTGAGTGTCTAATTTCAGGTTATATCAGTTATTGAGAAGCGAGCAGATCAGCTTGATTATGTTCTTGTGGACACTCCTGGTCAAATTGAGATTTTCACATGGTCAGCTTCTGGAGCAATAATTACTGAGGCTTTTGCTTCAACTTTTCCTACAGTTATTACATATGTGGTTGATACCCCTCGTTCAGCAAGCCCGGTTACTTTCATGAGTAACATGCTTTATGCATGCAGCATACTCTACAAAACACGTTTGCCTCTGATTTTGGCTTTTAACAAGACAGACATTGCCAAACATGAGTTTGCTCTGGAGGTATGGCTTGCTTAATAATTTGATTGAATATGTCTAATGCTAATTTATCATCTACTGAGCACCAACTGTGGCAACAGAAAGCATCATGGTTATATGTTTGTGGTTATTGACCCTGGAAATGTTCTTTCATAGGCATAATTTGATGATTATATATATATTTCTGATAATTGGTGAAGAGATGTATCATGTTTTTATATCAAATAAAATATAGGGGACATGCCCCAAAATAGAAAAGGCATTGCATGAACAATAAGTTAGAACAACAAGTCACAGAGATATTACACAAATACACCTATACTCCCCTATGCATCAGAAGATGAACTAAGCAAAATATCCTCCTGTCTCTAAAATGATAGAATGAAAAGCCTTCAAAGTCCTTGGGGGGTTAGCATCCATTGTCAACATCCTAATAATCCTACTCCTACCAATAAAGATACCAGTTACAACTCTGTTCTCTTTAAGAAATGTGAGATTTTAGTTCTTAACAAATGCACCAACATAAGGCAAAAGGAAGTTCTAGAGAATGGGTCCCCTAGCACAAAAAAAATCCCACACTAGTCATGATGAAATTAGCTTGGAATATCCTTGGGGCATCTGTTTTATCCTAAACAAAATGAGACTAGATGAAAAGAGTGTGTTGGCATTGCAAAGGGAGATAACAAATTGATTTCTCTTCCTGTTAAGAAAATCTACATTTGTTTTTAATACCACTTCCCCTAGAGATCGGATGATTAATAGTGAGAGTTTGTCTAAACCCTAAAGCTGTTTTTAATACCACTTCCCCTTAGAATGGATATGAGCCTCTCATACCCACTTCCATAATAAACTCTCAGCAGTAGAACCCAGGATAGGGTTATAGAATGACCAAGTGTCAATGCTCTTGCTATCCGCTTTTGGATACGTCAAGCTCCAAAGTGATTGGCTTTAGCTTAGGCACTATAGTAATGAAATCAATGTACCAGCCCTTCAATGATTAACATTTCGTTGGAGACATGGTATGCAAACCACATTATTGTTATGACAATCTTTGATTGTGGCAACCTGATACTAAGCAATGTTGAGAAGTCTTGGCAATTTAAGGTGCAAAAATCAGTCCCCTACCCAGCAAACAAAAGAAAATTTGGGAGATTTCAGATGGTGCAATTTATTTGATAAAGTCATCTCTAAGACTCTTAACCTGCATGATACCTTTCCAAACATCTGTCTCACAAGACATTGACTGGTAATGGCTCACAATCAAGTGTAGATCTCCATATTTTCTGCATATTGGGATGTGATGCAGGAGTTGAAGAATCAAAATTGGAATTTTATGAAAATTTATGTATTTCTGTATTTTTGGACAGTAGGGGTATTTTTGTCATTTTGTAATTTTTTGTGGGGTCCATTGATAGGGTTTAATTTGTATAGTTACAGTTTGTTTATGTTTAAAAATTCAGAGTCATTGCATAAGTAGGACTAGAGTTATTGAGTCTTCTTTGAATTGAAATAGGATATGACAACTTAGTTTGAGTCCTACTCGGATTATTGAGTCTAATAGTTTGACTCCTAAGACTATTATGAGTCTAACAGTTTGACTCCTAGGATTATTATAAGTTTAGAGTCTATAAATATGTATGGACGTTTTACACAAAGGCAATGAAGTTTATTGAGTTTTCTTCAGCTTATGCTAGCTATGGTGAGTGATTCCCATGCCCTAGAGTGATTCTAGGCACCCTGTGAGTGATTCCAGGTATTTTCTCTCTTCTTTCTCTCCCTATTTTCTCTCTTATTCCTTCAAGAAACCATTACAGCCATCAACAGCCATAAAATTCTGATCCAAGAAGACCATTCACATTCTCTAAGGACTAGAACTGAGCTGGTCCTACAGCAGGATGTGTTAAATGTTCTCAAGCCCAGACCTCTCTCTCTCTCTCTTATTTGCTGTACACATTTGTGAGGAGAACATCATCTGGTGACATGTCCTCAAATGTTTACAGAAAAGGAGAGAGGTTTTGTTGGATTGAGACCCGTTTACCTAATATTGCCCTAGAACCAACCCTTGCACCACTTTTATTTTCAAAGGAAAACCTTATAATACTAAAGTTCCCACTTATCCATCAGGGGACATTCCTAGACATTTCAAATTGCTTCAAGTTCCATCTGAGAATATGCCTCGAGGTTATTCTGATAGGGCCACAGACACTAAATTGTATCCAATTGTTCTGATCTTCTATGGTATTACGCAGCATAATCACCCCCCCCCCCCCCCAAAAAAAAAAAAATAAATAAATAAATAAATAAAAAGCTCCAAATTTTCAATTGGATACCTCCAGAACCAGCTTGCATCATAAAAGTCTCCCATGGGTTCAAATTGATTGTAGAACTATCCATCTACAGTACTTTTTCTCCCAACTGATAGAAAAAAAGTACCTTTTCTCCCACAGTACCTATTGCAGACCTCCCTTTTTGTTTCTTGTCGGCAATGTTGCATGGAGTCTTCTGTGTCTGTTTCAGACATGTGTCTGGTTCCGACACTTCATGGATTCTTCAATGACACTTTTGTCACTTTATCCTTGCTTATTCAACACAAGTTAGCAGCTAATAGACACAATTAATGTCATCTTTTTTCTATAAAATGTTATTAACAAAGATAATCAAAGAGAATGTCGAGGTTTGGTCTCCCCCAATAAATGGTTGGAAGAAACTGAATTTTGATAGGAGCTGTTTGGGTAACCCAGGCCCCTCAGGTATTGGGGGGGGGTCATTAGGGATGAAGCGGGAAGATAATTGCTTTATACTCTGGCCCTGCGGAGCAGGGTGATGTGGCAAGATCAGAGTTTTTGGCTGCAGTGTTTGGGGTTGAGAAGGCAAAAGAACTGGGTATTAGTAGGCTGATTATTGAGGGAGACTCTAAAACTGTGGTTAAGTGGCTGGTTAAGAGGGAGGGGGTGGCATGGCATTTGAGGAATGATTTCAGAAAATACAAATGGTTACCACAGGACATGTTAATCTGAGTGAAATGGGTGAGGAGGACTGCTAATAGCTTGGCAAATAGCTTAGCCAAGCAAAGGGTACATAGAGCACATATGTTTTGGCCTTTTGGGCTCAAATGTAGTACTGAACTGGGACAGCTTCTATAGCTGGTTTATTTTACAACTTCTTGTTGTAATCATGTTTTTCTCATAATTAATGAAATCTTTTCTGTGTTGCTGATCAAAAAAAAAAAAAGTTTATGGCTTTTCTAGGGTTGGGTGCTACCACCTCACCCACATTTACTTTTTTTTTTTTTTATTTCTTATTTTGATCAATAAAATTCTTTTTTTTTTCTACTGTAAAAAATGACTTTCATATTGATGAGTAACATGATTTGATATACTCCAGCATGAGCTACTCTCTCCCCTTTCCTGCAAGGTCCACTCCAGTTGATGTATCTCATTTACCTTCTTGGATTTCATTGTTCAGGAGTAGCTGTTGCCTCCACTCTGCCACGTGTATTTCTCATCTTGATTTCCATAAATAAAACCATGGCTCCTTTTGTGTGCCCATAAAGGATATTCCTAACAACTTGCCAACCACCGAAATGTTTTCTCAATCCAGGCTGAGGCCACCACTCTTTCATCAACTGCAGTAGAATTCTGCAGTTCAACCTCCTCTGCCCATATTCTGGTTGTTTTTTCTTTTTCTTTTCTTTTTTTGATGAATGAGATGAGCTTTTATTAAACTTCAAGAAAAGGCTTTACAAGCATCCCTTAGAGAGGCACGAGATGCTACATCTCTGTAAAAGCAAAGAAATTACAATGGAGCCCAAAACAATAAATCCCTATTTACCCCTTGCTTAGCCAAAGCATCCGCCATCCCATTTGCAGATCTCCTCACCCATTGTATCCTGAGATTCATGTTCCTAGTAAGCCACTTAAACTTCTTCATTTCATTCCTGTAGCACCAGATTTTAGAGTCCGGGTTCTTTAGCCACCCCACCACCACTTCTGAATCCCCTTCTATCACCACATTTGCTAGATGTAACTCATTGGCAATCTGCACCCCTTGTAATGCTGCCAACAACTCTGCTTTGAGAGAGTCACCCAAACCCACAGGGCCGGAAAACAAAGCTGTAAGTTTATCTTCCGAATCTCTTAATACCCCTCCTATACCAGTGGGTTCTGGATTACCTTGACTGCTCCCATCAAAATTCAGTTTAACAAAGCCTTCTGTTGGAGGTAACCAAGGAATCACCACACTTTCCTTTCTTGAAGAACTTTTGGCAATTAATTCCCAATTCCTGCAGACATCATCAAAGGAGAATTGGGAGAACAACTCCAAAGTCTTATCCAATGGATTACCCTGACCATTGCACAATTCCTAACAGCTTCTTTGCTTCTCTCTTTTTCTGAGAATACTCTAGCATTCCTCTCTTCCCATATAGTCCACTCCAAGGTTTCTCTAACACATCTCCACATTATTCTTCCCCTTTTTTGGGCCATGTAAGCAAGGAGGGGTTGGATAGCATATTAACCTCTGATGGTGAGGTCCATCTGCACCCAAACAAAGAGAAAAACTAAAGCCAAATCTCTACAACAAAAGGGCAAGAGATAAGTAAGTGATGGCAACTCTCATTATTGGATTTACACAACATACACCAGTTAGGAGAGAGACAAGAATTAGGCCTTCTGATTGTTCTCTCATTTTCAGTAGCATCTTCTGTTTGGAGTGCAAGGAACAACGCCCTATGGCCTCTAAGCATTGACTGCAGTAAAATAAATTAAACCTCTTCTTCCACCAAACCTCTTCATACACTAGTACACTACCAGTGCCTCTGAGTTTCCATTCCCATTTGGTACTTATCCTTTTCTGGGATCTTCATCTCTGTTGTTGGATCAGACACTTTATCACCCGTTTGCAACACTTCAATCTCTCTCATTCTTTCCTGATTACACCATATAAAGAACCAATTTAGAAGATTCAGGGAGTTATCTGAAACATGCAGGATTTTCACAAACTTGATGGTCAAAAGACTTACGGTGTCTCATCTTCTCTAACCAGCCGCTAGAGTATGGTCTTATGTGGTTCCATTTTTCCTATGGGCTCTTTTGTGTTGAGATTAATTGTTGGGATCAAACATTTTTGAGACATCATCAAGGAACCAACATAATGATCATTACCTACTCATCCTTATCTTTAAACCTAGCATGTCTGACCCTAGGTTGGGGTGAACTGGTGTTGGACTTAGACAGTGGACCATGATCTGGTTCTTTGCTTGAAGGGTATGCCTTCCCTCAAGGTTCATTCTCTGTACAGGATTATACAATTTCCACCTTTTCTTCCACAGTTGCCCTTTACCTTTTCTCCTCGGCCATTAAGTGTCTAATGGTAAGTTCTCTTATGACTGCCTTCAAACTGTCAATAGATCCTACCTAATGTTGTAATTTGAGTTTTGAAATGTCTTGTCAGCTAGCACTTTATGTGCTTTATGGTTTGAAAACGATACTAACCAATCATGCATACAGAACCTCACAAAGATTAAAAATGAAGAAAAAGGATAAATAAGGAGAACCAATTTCCGCAGCATGCTACTCCTCTTTCATCCATTTAAACAAATAAAAAATCTCAGACTTTGTATTGGGGAATGTGTATCTGAACTCTGCTTAATTTCTTATTGCATGGTTTTTTATCTATTTAAACTAATATTACTTTTCAACTTTCTAAATCTTGAAGATATTCTATCAATACTTTATGATTTTCCTTATTATTTTATAGTTCTTATGGATTTTAAGAAAGTAAAAGTTCATGTGCCCAAATGTTTAAAAGGATCCTGAGCACATGATTGTGAAAACTTGTTTTTTAGGGTATTTGTATGGTTGTACTTCTAGTTCTTGGTTAGAACTCTTGCTGACTATCCTTTAGCAAGGAGGAAGAGAGTGAATTCTTTAATGACCACAAGACTGCAAAAGAAGTTTTTCAAGAGGGAATTCTTTTGCATCTGTTGGTATTGTTTCAAAATCTCATGGTATTGGTGCCTCAGCTGCTATTTGGCTCCTGTCTGCAACTTCAGCTTATGTGGCACAGTGCAGCAGCCACAAATGTGCAAATGTTAGTTAAGTGCTGTGACACTGTGAAATCAAAGTAAGAATTGAGACTCCCCGGCTTTCTCATGAATCATTACATTTATATGGTTTGACAGTATAAATTGTGTTCCCATTGGAAAAAAAACATCTCTTCCCTGTGTGTAAATATTATGGGCCCAGGCGTAGGATCTCGTCACGGGTCGGTCCACGAGGAGAACCTCTAGTTTCCCCTTGCCCCTCCTTTTGCGTGCAGACCCTATCGTGGCGACCTAAGGGGTGATTTGTCCAAGAGATCACCCTAACTCTCCTCAACTCTTCTCTTGACTGAAATTCTTGGATGCCTTTATTCAATAATAGTGGCTCCTTAAATAGGAGATTACAAGAGTCCTGCTCTTAGGGAGACTCCTTGCTGAATARGGAGACCTCCAACTCTATCTTGATAAGATAAGACTGATAAGATAAGATAAGTCTCTCTTAATCCTAATTTAATAAGATAAGATAATCTAATCTACTAACTTAATAAGATAAGATAAGAATAACAAGATAGTCTAATCTAATCTGCTGAATGGATAAGACTGTTGCTGCCGAATTGGATAGGATGAGAAYACCGGATCATTGCTGCTGCTGCTCCCAATACGCGTCCACATCAGTAAAGCTAGTAGGGTTATGCATATATCCTTTTATTACCTTTGAGGCTTTGAATATCTTACAGAATCTCTGGAACACATATGTACCATCTTTGTTTGCATCCCAAACTCTGTTAATTAGGCCTTTAAACATTTGTGTAAAAGAGTTTATTTCATTGGGGTTGAACCACCACCCAGGTCCTGAACCAAATCATATAATCCTTGTGAACATTACCTGGATACCTCTTCAAGCCTAGCACACCAGTATTGTATCTTTGACAATAAAAAAAGTGTCATACCCAGTAAGTATTGTACACAATACTGGATGCTGCATGGATACTTCTGGATTTCTCTAAAACATTCACACTTAAAAAATGTAAAGTGGTGTGTTTTAAGTTTTAACAAGTTATATCATAAAAATATCTAAACATGTTAAGACATTTAATTAAATTTGGAAAGAGATGAGTCTTGAAAAATGGAATTAGATTAAAAAATTAGATATAAAATCATGATGTAAGTGTATTATTGCATAGGATACCTGTACCGGTGTACCCGTATCTATGTTAAGGATTTTGGGAAGTGGAGAGTCATATACTCATTTCCCGTGTCCATATCCAGGTTTCCATGTCTGGGTATCATATTCAGATATTTCAGGAACAGAAAAGGGGGCTAGAGGACTTTATTCAACTTCAGTACCATAACATGGCCATCGCCTACCTGTTTTCTTTTCTGCTTCGGAATAATCTCTCAACAATTCAAACATCTATCTCTCTTGATCTGAGATATTTTTTGTGTTATTCATGTCTCGTTCTGTAAATTCCCAGCCATCTACAATGGTCTGTTTTTCTTAAGCAACACAGAAACATCTAAATTATTATAAATACAGCAGAATTACATGGGTCAGTATTTAATTATCTTGTGTTCGTGCACCATTCCTATTTCTTCTCTTAGATTTCTGGGGTTATATGCTCCATTTCTATTTCTATTGAGATGAAACATATGCTTTTTTTTTTGAAGTTTATCACATTATAGGATTTCATTTCAGCCTCAGGTTCAATTATTTATAGAAGTAATAAGGGAAAGGTTGGGACCTTGGTTATTGAAGCAGATTTAAGTAATGCGATTAGGTGGATTAAAATTGTATGTGGGGTCCATTTCCCCTTCCTATTATACTAATGAGATTAGGGAGATCATGGCACCTATCTTGATTACAGATAAGGTGGATGGATCAAACTTGTCAAGTTGCATGCAGAAGGGGCTGTTTCTATATAGCAACAGCTTTATGCCTTTTTCAGTTTTGTGGAGGGGGCTGTTGTATGCATCTGGTCATCAGATTTCTTTAACATATTAATACAGTACAATCTTGTTACCCTCTTCTAGAGTAGTAAATTTTCCACTATATAGTGCGCATACATGGATGCAGGTGGATCTTCTCTCTATTTCTTTTTGTCCTTTTATGTTACTTGTTTTATATGAATAATTGTTTTTTTTTTTTTCAATTATGTATTATGTTCACCTCAACTGTGGGTTGCGGAAACAGTGGATGGAAGACTTTGAGGTATTTCATGCTGCCTTAGAGTCTGACAACTCATACACATCGACCCTGACAAGGAGCCTCTCTCTTGTGCTTGACGAGTTCTATAAAAATCTCCGTTCTGTTGGAGTTTCTGCAGTTTCAGGTGCTGGAATGGAAGCCTTCTTTAAGGTCATTGAAGCTAGTGCTAACGACTACATGGATACTTACAAGTACTGCCTACAAGACATCTTTTGCTTCCTCTTTAAAGTTACGACTGTAAATATTTATCATTTTGTCTGAATCTGAATTTGAACCTGATCTGATTAAGGTGATCCAAATTCAATCTGTTTATAATTGGACTGACTATGGTTCCATTGCAATCTGATCTGGTATCTAATCCAATGATATTTGAACATTTATGTTTCTTCTAATGGATACAAAAAAAAAAAAGAAAAAAAAGTTTATATTTATCTAGTTGTAAAGCTGGTTTAAATGTTGTATGTTTACTAAAGAGTCATAGGTTAAAGTCTAAAATGGCCATTGCCCAATCTTGGTCCCAGCTTTCGGGGTCTTGGGAGGGAAGGACTTGATATGGACTTAACCTTTGACACTTTGTTTTTGCTCTGTACAAGTATTTTCCTGTCATTGTATCCATGATATGATATCAAATTTATTTTTAGTTTAATTTATTAATGATATTTAATATCTGAATCCCATCCAAGAAATATAATGGATCTAAGGGTAAGATTTGATTCGAATTCAATTTCACATTCAAATATTAATGGATCAAGTTTGGGTCTAGGTACAGCCAAGTCAAATCTGATCCATTTGCAGTTGCAGCCATACTTGGCAGTTAAAATAGGGAATTTGATTTGGATGGGCCTGGCTTCTTTTTCCGTTATCTGATTTTGGATATATTGTGAACTTGTTTGAATTTATCTGTGTTTTCAGGGCTGATCTTGATAAGAGACGGGCAGATAAACAACGGTTAGAAGAAGAGCGGCGGCGAGAAAACATGGATAAACTGAGGAAGGACATGGAGAAGTCTCAAGGACAAACAGTGGTGTTGAGTACAGGTTTGAAGGACAAGGATAGTAGTAGTAAGACCATTTTGGATGAAGATGGGGAAGGAGAAGAGGAAGACGAGGAAGATGATTATGAGAGGTTCACCGAGGAGGAAGATGAAATTGATGAGGGTGAAGATGAAGAGGTCGCCAGGTTCTCCTAACTGCGATTTCCTTGATGTAGCCTCTTGAAGTAACACCTGCACACAAGAACCTTTAAGCAATACTTGATGGTTCAAAGAGTTGGACTATTTGCCCATATTGAGTTGGATTTGATATTTGCTGGATGTTTTTTGTGCTGGCAACTTGTTTATATTGGACATTGATCAGGTGTCTTTGTATGTTTCCGATGCAAATTTTTTGTTCCATCGTCCATGTTCTTATTGTAAAAGCTAAGTCATCTTGGAATCCTTTTATGATTGATGATCCCGGAGAGCAGGTTCCTGGGGTCGGTTGGAGTGGCTGGACGAGGAACGCCATCCCTTTCCCCGTTCCTGTTTTTAATGAAAATGGGTCTTATGAAACGATAGATTTTGAGGGTGTTTAGTTCCGTTAATTCAGTAAACATTTTGTACTTGTGTGATTGTAAAACCGAGAAAAATAATTAATGAAGGCGTTTATGACACATATGCATCATTAGGCACCACATCAGCAAAATGCCAATAAACTCTTACCCGTTTCAGGAAGCTCCAAAATGAAACTTTCTGAAATGGGAGAGGTGTACAGAAACCGAAGTTTGCAAAATACACAAATGCAATTAATGAGGCATTTGCTGATGGGGCGCCTATGTGGTATCATCAATAAACGTAAGCGGAACCAAACATATACTTTATGACTGCGGCAAGTTTTAATATAGTTAGATTTCTGAAGGAATGCATCCAGAATTAAGGTTTCATTTGGATAAGCTTCAGGGTTTGTGCTTTTAAAGCAGAAAAGCCCAAAACCACAAGCCTAAGAAGCCTTGTTTTGGTGCTTTAGAGTTTAGAGTTTAGATTGTTATGTTTTTGAAGGCAACTCTTATAAAACAAACAGTACGCTTCTTTGGCTCATATTTATTTTCCACATCCCAAAGCTCAAAAGCAAAGGTTTGTCCAAATACCATAAAATACTATGCTCTTGAGTTTCTCTCCGTCTATATAATGTGGATCAATCCATGTATGAAGAAAAGGCAAAAAAAAGAAAACCCATTGAAGAATATAATAAGTGGAGATAAATCTGGTCGTCTTTCTCTTGTCAATAAGCTGAGTTGATCGTGTCTTATTCTCTCCATGTTTGTTATTTGCCGTTTGTCTCGCTTTTTTGGGTAATGGAATGGTGTAATAAAATAGTTGTTTGGAGTCTTTGGACTGTTGCAGCTAATTCAGTAGTCATGATGATGAAAACGAGAAAAGATTTCCTGCGAGTCTGCGACCATGGTTGCATGCAACCCCGTTGAAATGTGAGCATGCAATGTTTTAAACCAAACATCAATTGATATATGTTTTATTTTTTCTCTTCTTTCAAACACTGGCATGATTTCATTATTGAAGGTTTTTGGATGGTTGCAGGAAATGTTTGATCTTGGTGGAAACAATCTGTGATTCTAATTATCCATCCGTTGGGTAGGAGTGTCAATGGATTGGTTTTGGGTTGGATCTGTCAAAGTAAAATCAATTTGGAAGGATTGGAGGGATAATAAGACATTAAATTGGATAAATTCAGACTTAATGCTTTAAAGTATTTATCGGATTGAATTGGACCTGGCTCATTTACAATAGATTTATATTGGATTGGGTTGGATTGAATCAATATATGGTCCATTAAGAATAAAGTTGTCAATGGACCAGGTTTGGGTTGGAGTCAATTTAAATTAAAACCAATTTGAACAGATTGAATGGTCCAGACATTGAATTGGACCAGTCCAAAATAGTTCAAAATATTCATCAGATTGGATTGGACCTGATCCATTTATAATAGACTCATATTGGACCGGATCAGATTAGACCAAATCCGATCTAATTGACATTCCTCCTACTATCAGGTGATAAAGACCTTTTAATGTACACAACATCATCTGTGCATTTTCTTTGGATGTATCAATTCTGACCATGAGATCAATTGTATACCAATCAAATGGCCTCCACTCTGAGTTCAAATCTGGTCCCAACAGCCATTGCAGCTGTGCATCGATAACATCTCTGTTGCCTTTTCCTGGACCCTGTCTCTGTTCAAACATCTGATTGAGGCTAGTTCTTTGGAAGCTGGCATCCGATTCCAATGTTCAGATTACATTACTCCAGTCTCCAGCGGTGATGTGGTAGGTATCAGTGCCGAAAGATTTAACTCATTTAAGAGCCATCAAGAGTCAGATTTCAATTCCAACCAAATCGCGTTCTGTGCACTCATGGGTGCACTGGACGAGTGCACCCTCGAATGAGAGGCGAATATTTCATCTCATCCGTCTTAACTGTGAATTAACAAAAACTTTCTCATTATCAGTCGTTCGGTTGGTTGAACTGGCCATTTTTTAATCTCCTTCCCATTTTTGACTCTCCTCCACCGAATTCAAGCATTCATCGGCGATTCACTGTACACCGGTGTCATGAATGCATAAGCCACTGATAGCAGGAAAAAATCCCCCCCCCCCTCTTCCTCCCCTCCATTATCCTGTCTGATACTCGTCCATTCTTCTGAAAGACTCCGTCAGGTTTTCTTTGGGAGCTGTTCCAATTCGGCTAATTCTCTGTATTTACCGGAAATAATGCAGAAGGAGAAGTTGGAGAGAGAGGAAAAGGTCAGGAAGAGACTAAGCAATCAGATTGAGGAGACGTTGCCTAAGTGGAGAGATAAGTTTCTTTGGTACAACGAATTGAAGATAATCGATCCAAATTAATAATGCTAACACTATCTTCAAATCGATCAATAACATATTAACATGGCTTTTTATATTTTGAGGGAGGGAGCTGAACTGCATTGGAATACAACAAAATCACATCATGGCGATACAAATTGTAGCAACAGCCATGTCGTGCCTTCCTGTCCCACCATTGCTCCTTTCTTCTCCACCAATGCCCCTACCACGATCTTCTCGTACCCACCGCCGCCACATACGCCACCAGCGCTGCCTGAACTGCCCCAGGCTTGGATTATACGCCACCAATTCCACATAAGAACCTTTGTAGACCTTTCCCTCGGTGTCCATTAGAGCCACCCTAGATGGGCATCCACTGTACAACGCGTGGGATTTGTTCGCCGCTTCAAGTGCTGCATACTTCAGTTTCTTGTTATAATCCAATACAACTCTACTGTTGCTATAACATTGATTGGCCTTGCTGTTAATCTTAACGACACCGTCATCATGGTCGTTGTTGCTGAAGGTCATGCCGTTGTGATGGGGCTCCAGAAGTAATGGCACATCCTTGTCCAGTAAATCGTTGGGACCAAATCTTTGGGATAGGAAATGGGACTGAATCTTTGGGGTAACGTCCTCTATCGGACGGGATAATGGAGGGGAGGGAGAGCGGGGGGACGATGGATTTTCTTTTCCGCTGCCAGTGGCTTATGCATTCACGACGCCAGTGTGTAGTGAGTTGCGGATGGATGCTTAGATTCGAGTGACTGGTAACAAAGAAAGTTTCTGTTAATTCGCAATTAAGATCGATGAGATGACATATTCAGTCGAGGGTGCACCCGTCCAGTACACCCATGGTTTCATAGAATGTGAGCTCCAAGAATTTCAATTGCTAATGCTTGATTTTAAAAATACTTATCGTTATGACCTTATGGGGAACTAGAAAACCTTGAGAGAGAGATTCTCTTGGGTTAGTGATTTATGTTTTCAACAAGTCCACCAGCTGACTTGTAGTGCTAATGAGCTCAAGCAAGGTTCAAAATATCGATACGCCCGATACGCCATATCGAGCGAATCAATACTCCTTTTGGTGTTTTTTTTTTTCAATTTTTTTCGCCAACTAGTTCAGGGGAGCCGATTTAGGTCTTCGCAACACCTTGAACTGGTCAGACCACCGATACACCCACTATAGGGGCATATCGGTGGGGTGCCAGATGATATGTATCGGCCAATACGAGCCGATACTTTGAACCTTAAGCTCAACTAATTCCTATGTATATCTCATCAGTTGAACTTCATTCATAAAGAGGCATGGGTCTTTTCAATACTGGGGTCCTCACACTTAAAAAGATTGTAGCATTTATGTCATTGAGTCGCACATTGCATACTCAGTGGACCTTCATATTAAATTCTTAATGGTTTGAAGTCGTCCCACAATAGCAAGGTCGCAACCCTGCAACTCTATTATGCAAGCAACACTTGCCTCCATGGTTTTCAAAACCAGATCGGACCGGATGGTTGGACCAGAAAATCGGGAACCGGTTAGGTGATCGGTTTCGGTTTTCCCCAAAACTAGAAATTTGCCCAAAACCATTGATTTTGGTCAGCAAACCACTAATTCGGGAGGTTAACCGTTCGAACGTATTTGATAATTTTTTATTTTTTTGTTAGAATGGGTTGTTCGTCCGGTTCGAACGGTCCGGCCGTTCAACCCGGTAACCGGACCCTTGACAGGTTCAGTCTCCGGGTCGTTTTTAAAAACCATGCCTGTCTCATCATTCGACTCCTTCACTTAGACTCGATTCCTCAATCGCTTAAGAATTTTTTTGTAGACCCTAATAAAACTTTTGTGGGTGTTGGTATCACTCAAGATGTTGCCAGGCTTAAAAAGAGATTACGAGCTTGAATGTATGAATGCCCTTGAATTGGGCCCCTTAGCTGCAAGCCATCTCAATAAGCCTGAACTTATGCAAGCGGGGTCTGGCTCAGTTAGTTAGTCCATGTGGTTGCTGGTAGCAATATGGACAAACCTTTGGGTTTTTTTTTTTTTTTTTTTTATTTTGAGAGGGAGGAAAGTTGGTCAATAGAATTTTGGTCCCATTGACCAAGAATACCATGTTCTTTTTTCAGATTAATGTGGGGATCAGGGAAAGTTTATTTTCCTGAGTATACTCATCTCCTAACTCAACACTTAAATTGGACAAAAATGCCCCATTTAATAATGGATTTTTATAGTTAAAATGGTCATTTTCTTTTTTACTTGGGAAATAAAAAAGCATGGGTAAATACACTTACCTGGGTAAGTGTTTCCCAACCCAGGTAACAACATTTACCTGGGTAAATAACTTACCAAAAAGCGAACGGGGCTGAAAGTGAAGTTCACTCAAATTGGGATTCTTAGGATATATCCCTGGTCATCTGTTGAAGTATGCTGTTGCTGATGCCCATGCATCATTTCTGGTTGGAAGGACACTGCTGTTGATGCAATGAAGGTGGGAAACTTTAGATATATTGGGTAGTGGCTGTTTTGATTTTCGAGTTAATTAGTTTTGTATCCTCATGGATGCCTTTCTTATAATTATTATTCTCGTGTTTGTTTTAGGTTTTTAGTTTTATGGAGTGTTGATGGTTTAATGCTGAATGGGAATTGAGAATTTCATTGCATGTCATTAATGGATGTTCCTACTTCCTATGTCATT